TATATATATATGAAGATTATTCTTCAAATATTCTAGTTCAAAACACAAATAATTTTTTCTTTTGTACTTCTAGAATCATATAATCTCAACCATTAATACTTCATTCAAAAAAATAATCATTTCCTCAGAATCATAACAGAAATTACATGTGGGACTTTCAGCCATAGGTTCCTCCGTAGGTGATTGTCTTTGCACAGTTTCTATAAAACATTTTTCGAATTTACCTTTAAATTATTTCACATCATCCGTGCTTACTCTGTAAAAGACAGGGATCACTATGAGTTTCCCTTCCTTCACAAGCTCATCCATCTTCAAGAGCTCGTTTAAACACCAGATTCCGCAAAATCGTAGCTATCTATGAAAATGTTTACCCCTGCTACTCTCAAGGCCTTCACCACATGGCTCACGAAGCCATTGAGCAGTTCATTTCCTCGGAAACTGACAAACAACTGAGGACGTCGTGGTCCAGGTAAAGGCAGAGGAGGAAGATGTGGTGGTCGAGATATTCGAGAGGGAGGAGGAAGAGATCGTGGTCGGAGTACCGGCAGAGGAGGAAGAGGTGGTGTTGGGGCAGGCGTAGCCATGGTGCTAACAACTAAACAAGAAAAAATGATTGTGGTGAAGGATATATGTAAGCTTCCTAGAGTCTCTATTTAATGGAAAATGCAAAGGACTTTCTTTTCAATCTTAATTCATAAACCAAGAGACCAAGACTCTACTTGGATTGATCCGGTTCGGGATCTAAGTAGTTTAATTTGTAAAAAAAAGCAATTGATCGTCATTCACAACACTATTTGTTGAAATTAGTTAGCTATTGTATATTAGTAAGTCATCGTTGAATTTTTGTTTCAACTCTTTCGTTAGTTCCACCCATCCTAATTAATCGCATATATTAAAATTTTAAAATATCGTTATCAATACCATAGTTGGTACTTCCAAACCACAAGAATATCAATTCTTTGGATCAATCCATCTGAGTCTACGGCCGCCAAAGTCTTTCTTTAATGCCATGTTGTTACAAACCAACGCCACATTTGATTATTATAGTTCATTATCTGTTTAAACATTACTATCTAGATATGGTTTTAGAAACTCTAAATTTCTTAATTTTCAAAACTAATCATATGAATATTTTTGACTCACACCTAATTTTCAGCAAGATATATGAACACAAGTAGTTTATGAATTTCTCAAATTTTTTGAAAGC